GCTAGAAATCAGGGAATGCTTTTTTAAAACCATTCCTCTCTTTGCTTTGAATGAAATGCATGCGCCCTCTCCCGGAAACCTCATGCAGCTATTCATGCAATTCTGATGCTGGCACGTTATTTATGTGAAATTGTTATCTTACAGCTTTAGCTGATAGAATGTTTTAAAATAGAATTAACATGTTAATATTAAAAATAAATTTTTAATAAAAATTATTTTAATATATTTTTAAATAAAAAATATTTATAAAAACAATAACAAAACACGGGCTTGAAGAAGATGGAGATGGCCATTCTAGTAAGAGATTTTTGGTGAAAGTAAATTGGTTTTTTCCTTAAAAGAATTAAACCAGTTAATATTAATGCTATAAGTTAAAGGGATATTATTATTAGTTGCTGGATGTTAGGTTACCCATAAAACGAGCGTTTAAAACACTCCAAGAGAGTCCACCAAAGTGCCTTTGAGTGCTACCTTGGAAAGCCATTAATGGAGCTACCAACATCACACCTAGTGTTCAACAAAATCACAATTAAGCCTATATAACTTCTCCTTGAAGCGACTAGCAGCTAATGTTTGAATATGTCTGGCTAGCTAGCCAGCCAGCTATTATTTTTCGTAAAAAAAAAGGAAGTGAGAAAAAGTCGTGCAAAACCAGGGAACCTCTAATTAGCACAGGACATGGCTTAAATCTAGTGAACATGCGAAGGACAGAACAAGAATACAAGGATTCTCTCACGGTCTTTTGAAAAAAAATTAAGCATTTAATTATTTCAATTTACCCATTTAATTCAAATGGATAAGTATTGGAATTTTGTCATATAGTTTCAAAAAAAAAGAAGCAATATTGCTTTAAAGAAAGAAAAGTAAAAAAAGCAAAAGCTAACGAACATATATACCTTTTTAACAAAAACAAATCAATGAACTTTCTATCATGATAAAATATTTATTTTTTTAGAGTATATTAGTTATTATGAGATTTATCATAAGCAATTTATTTTTTATTTATCTTTTAAATACATAATACAATGACTAAATTACTTTAAATTTTTTTTAAAAGGTTAAACAAATTATTCAATTTTTTCACCTTTTAAAAGCACAATATAAAAACTTTATTACTCTTAAAAATAAAAAATATTAAACTTGCATCTATGAATTTTTTACATTTTTAAATTGTTTTTTTAATAAACAAATTAGCAGGGGTAATTTGATATCTTGATTGATATAAATATTATTTAAAAATAAAAAATTATTTTTACATGGAAAGTCATCTCATGTCCAAATGTTATTTTTTGAGGTGGTATTGTAAATGTTTCGTTGCACTCTTTTTATTGATGCTGCACGCGTATACAATGACATGGTGATTGGGTTCTGATAAACTTTTTTTACGCGTATACAATGACATGGTGATTGGGTTTTGATAAACTTTTTTTTTTATTAAAATATAAAGGTATCATTTAATTTTTTTTTCTAATTTAATACTTATTCTTTTGAGTTATTTTTTTTCTTTTTTTTCTTATTAAAATATAAAGGTATCATTTAATTTTTTTCTAATTTGATACTTAATCTTTTGAGTTATTTTTTTAATCTTTTTTATTGGTTTTTTCTTTGATTCTGATCTTTATTATTTAGTTTTATTTAATTTTTATATTAAATTTGGTCCTAATTTTTTTGATTGATGCTTGTTTGTTTTTTATCTTTTTTTCTCATTGAATTTTATTTTCAAATTCATTCAATGACATTAGATTTTAAATTACTTTTATATCAAATTTAGTCTTCATTCTTTTAATTGCTATTTCTTTTGTTTTGGATTTTTTTATTGTATTTTTTTCAATTTCATTTCTTAATATTTTGATGATTTAGAGTTTTCCTTCTTAATTTTTTAGGTTTTTCCTTCTACAAGGTTAATTCTAAACTTATAATCAAGATTACAAGTTTTGAATATTAACACAAGTTGATTTTGGTATCTTTTTTGGTCATTTTTTAAAATTATTTTTTTAATTTTATTATTTAATATTTGAGTTATTCAGAATTGGTTTTCATATTTTCTTTTCAATTTCTATTATACAGGGCTATCCTAATCATATGTTTTTAGTTGTGAGGTTGAATTATAAATAAATAAAATGTTCATTCAATTAAACTTACTTTCCATGGAAAAGGAAGTTGATAACTTGATGAAACAATCTTGATACCTACAAAAAAACAAAGTTCCATTTAAGTGGATTTGGAGATCCTCACATGCTTACATAGAGCTAATAAAAGCTTGGACATAGAACTGATATTTGGGTTTAGATGCTACATTTAAGCTTATAAGTGCCAAGATTTGTATGGTATTTCGAGTCATGACCATGACTAAAGGAAAAAAAAAAGTTTTTAAAGTTTTTTGGCGCCTAATTCAAAATTAAAACGAGTTTGCATGAACTAGTTATTCTAAAAACTATTGATAAGATTAATAACGAGCTTTAAAGAACTGATGAGTTAATCATTTGTGTGTGTACACACACAAAAATAATAGTTTAAAAAGTTGATCTTGATTTTGTTATAAAAGGCTGTGGTTTCCATTAAAGGCTACGACCGCCCATTGTCCGTACATAATTTATGTTCTTAAGAGTGCATAGAAAAGTCGTACCAATTGGACTGCGTCTTTTTCCTTGAGCTGGTTATCGATCGAGGAGCCATGACGATACCAATAGCGCCGTGAGTTGTGTTTGTTTCTTGTCTTTCAGATATTGGTTCAATATTGATATTTGGGAAATAATATTATCTTGTATTTTCCAGCACCCGCACCCAAGGATTTAATTAATTCAAAAGGCTGAATATGTACGTGGATATTAATTGAGTGCGTATACAGCTACAAGCACGCGCATGAGAGAATGTTGGATGTCATCTTCTCCTCTCTCTCTCTCTCTCTCTCTCTCTCTCTATATATATATATATATATATATAGAATCGAGTTATGAGGAATAATAATTTAAATTAAACATATATCCGGATGCAAGATAGGCAAGTAAAAATAACGCTGGTGATCTTTTCTTACAATTAAATACTCACTACCATGTAGCAAACCCTAATAAAAATAATAAATAAATAATGCTCTTATTAATTTTGCGCAACCATTTTTCATTTAATTCTTTTCTTGAAAAAAAAGAAGAATAGTATCCTATTTCAATTTTTAAGATTTTATATTTTAAAAGTGTAGTTGTGATTATTTTTAAAGTGTTTTTATATTAAAATATTTTTTTTAATTTTTTAAAATTATTTTTGAAATTAGTGTATTAAAATAATTTAAAATATATAAAAAATTTATTTT